ACTTATAGATCAAAATGATTTTATTAATTAGGTTCTTAATTGGCGTCACCTGTTTATGTCCATGGGACTATTCTGTCTAATTCAGAGTCAGGAGAACTCTTCCTATGCAAAAGCTACTCACACAACTGCCTGCTGAAGTCATCACAGTGTTGGTACTTCCAAAGTGACACGGCCCCTGTGTCCCTCAATTCATATTTTCTATTGGCTTCAAGTTGCACCAGGGGAAATTGAGGTTGGATGTTAGGAAAAACTTCTCTGAACAAGTGGTCAGGTGCTGGAATGGGCAGCACAGGGAGGTGGTGGAGTCACCAACCCAGAGGTGTGCAGGAAATGTTTAGCTGCTGCTCTGAGGGTTGTGACTTAGTAGGAAATATTGGTGATTGGTGTGTGGTTGGACTGGGTGATCTTGGAGGTCTTTTCCAACCTTGGTGATTCTGTGACTGTAATTCTGTGGTTTTTGTTTTGTTTGTTTTCATGTGATATCTGAAATCCATCTTTTTAGCTATGTGGTTGTATAGTGGAAAGTGAAAAAGAAAACTCAGTTGCACGACATAAAAATTGAGTTCTCCAAGCTGCAGACTTTCCATCTTTGCTTTGCACATCTTGGTAGCTTAACTTACCTGCAGTATTTCACAACAGTTGTTTGGGAGTCTCCTGACCTTTTGATGTGTTTGAAGAAACTCATGTCTGAGTCTCCAGAGAAAGCTGGTAGATAGATAGAGTCCGATGAGGGCCAAAACCTCTCCAGTTTCTTCTGCCACACTGATTGTTCCACTCATGCAAATTGACATTGACATGAAGAGGAAGAGCAGGAGTTCAGATCCAGTCCTCTGGCCTGGGTGATGTGTACAGTAGGTACCAGATGTATTCCATGCTGTAGGATTGTCAGATGGCAGGGTAACTTTGATCCTGTTGGATGCTTTTAGCCCATTAAGATGATTAATGGATTAATTGGATTATCTTCTTTGTATTATTTGTCACTCTGACAGGTGATATTTTGCAGAACGTGAATGCAGCTAATGACAAGAAGAGCTTGAAGGGCTTGTATTCCTGTAAATGTCAGTTTCCCAGTAGTGCTGGCTGATTCCATAAAATATACCTGTTTTTTTTTTCCTATGAGCTTTCTCTTGATTTCTCCAGTCGGAGTGGAACAGATGGCCAGAAGGGACCTTCTTGATTAGTGAATTCACCTCTGCTAGGCTGTGGAGTAATGTTTATAAAATACCTTGCTCTCTCTTTAAAATAGATTGTCTGTGTGTGGTGCTCCTGTTGACTGTTCCATTCATCTTGGAAATGTGCCTTGACTTTAGGCCTAAGGGTATTCATGGCTAATTTGTTCTGATTGTGCTTGAATTGACATTGCCCTTCAATTCCAGTGACTCCAAATGCCTACCCTGCTACTCCCAGTGCATGCAATCAGTCAAGCGGTTTGTTTTTGCCAGGTGTGGTATTTCCTAGAGCTTGCTTATCTCACAGCCAGTTACTATTGATGCCATACAGCCCTGCTGGATCAGCTGCAGCCCCATGCTTCACATCCCACTGTCCTTTCTACCTGATGAACGCCCAGTGTCCTGTTTGCTATTGATTTCAATTTCATTCCTGACACTCTGCTTTATGAGGTTTGTATGGCATTACAATCCTCTTTTTTCCCCGTGCTCCCCAGCTGTGAAGGGCTTTGGGCTTTCTGCTTAAGGGCAGTAATAGGGACATACACTGACCAGATCTCTGAGAGAAATCCATTAAGAACTCTGTTAATACCTTTCTGGCATTTTGATATTTTCTTGCCTCAGCCGATTTCTGATTTGCTTTCTGATTATTTTATTTTTTTTACTCATTACAAAAATTGATCCCCATTTCACCTGCAAGCTTCCCATGCAGCACATCACTAACGCTGTACCAAATTGGGAAAAGATGACTACCTTTCCTTTGTCTTTAAATCCAGTTCATTGTCTCCAGGAGAGGATTGGTTTTTTTAACTCTCATCTTAACAGGAATGATACAACTTCAGTAATCCCAACCTGAGCAATTCTAGGATTCCATGCTGAAGGGGATGGGAAATTCAGTCATCTCTGTGCCTTCAAAATTTGCTCTGCAATTTGTTGAGATCAAAGTAGCGGGATAAGTTTTTCATTTGCTCTTAAAAATAGTAACTAACTTCCCGTCAGAATGCAAAGCACCGTGATGGTGGTTTTGCAAGAAATGTTTGCAGGTGGATCTGTAATTCTGTGTGCTCACTGCATCGCAGTTCTGCTCATTCTGATTTGAAGTGCATGATATTATTTGAGTTTTGTTTCTAGCTTCAGGTGCCATAAACATGCTAGCCAGTCCCCAGCCAGCCATCTTCTCTTCATCTGATAACAGAGGCAGAGCACTAAGTTCATTTTTGAGACAACTTTTCCCCCTTGCTTTCAATAAAAAATTGGGATTTCTTTGATGCCTCGAAGAACTTGCAGACCTCCTGTGCATTCACTTACCTGCTCTCCTCAGCCACAGTTCTTATCAGCTAAATGTCTCATCTGATGAAAATTCACACTTCTTAAATAAGATCTATTAGAAGTGTTTGTAAGTTATCTTTAGACTGGATTGCATCGTGGTTACTTACCCTGTAGTTGGCACCCTCTTCCACAGAGATGATGGAGTACTGTGTTCAGTGTTGGGCCCCACTCTGCAAAAAGGATGTGAAGGCCCTGGAGTGTCCAGAGAAGGGCAGTGGAGCTGTGAGGGGTCTGGAGCACACATTTTATGGGGAGCAGCTGAGGGAGCTGGGATCGTTCAGCGTGGAGAAGAGGAGGCTCAGGTGGGACCTCATCGCTCTCTGCAACTCCCTGAAAGGAGGTTGGAGCAAAGTGGGAGTTGGCCCCTTCAAACAGGTAACAGTGATAGGATGAGAGGGAACAGCCTCAAGGTGCACCAGGGGAGGATCAGGATGGATGTTAGGAGGAGGTTCTTGTTAGAAAGAGCGGTGATGCATTGGCACAGCTGCCCTGGGAGGCGGTGGAGTCACCGTCCCTGGAGGTGTTCAACAAGTACATAGATGTGGCACTGAGGGACTCGGCTTGTTGGCGGGGATGGGTTGAACTCAGTGAGCTTAGAGGTTTTTTTCAACCTTTATGATTCTATGATTGCTTTCCAAAGTGCCTCTGTGCAGTGAACTCCCAATGCTGTCAGTGGGTGTTGCCTACGAGGAACAGCTGCAACAGTCATCTTTGGTCGTGTTGTTTTTTGGTAATGAAGACATAAAAAAAGCATGAGCTCAAAGCATGTTGCAAAGTGTGCAAAACCATAGGAAAGTTCTCTCTATTGTCAACTCTACCCTTGTCTTCCAAAGTAACTTTCTCCAGCAGCACAGACTTTGATAGGATGGGAATTAGAATCAGACAATCCTTAGGGATGGAAGGGACCTCTGAATGCTATCTAGTCCAACTCCCCTGCAATGAACAGGGAATCTGCTATTAACCTAGCCTGAAAATCAGGCAGTACCAACAGCCAGTGTGACAAACACAGACATACTGGTGACCTGTCTGCAGTGCCTCGCGTTCTCTGGGCGCTGGCAGTGGGTACTGTAGTGTGGTGTAGTGAGAAGGATCTCTTAGCAGTTGGCCAGAGAGTGTTCCAACGTTTATTTCAGAACTCCTTAATAAAACGTAATGACTCCTCACTACATCAGGTGCCTTTATTGTGCTGTAGTAGCTTTGGGGATTTACTGATATAAATGTCTCAAGTTGTCTTTAGGAATGTGGTCTCTTTGGCTTGAAGTATACAGAAGAAAGAAACTGAAAATACCCAGCAGGTGATGTGAAGAAGCCTCAATAATACAGCAGTGTCCCCAGCTGGTTGTCTGGGTGCCTGGAGGTTACACTTAGCCAGCCCATGGGCAGGCAAGCTACGTGATGTGTGTGTTCTGAGAAGGGCTGGAAGGATTCCCATCTCAATCTTCAACTGTGATTTTATTTAAACGCATTGAGCAGTGCAATCTGTAGCTTCAGTACAGCTTCATGTCTCCATATAGGACATCCGGTGCAGTAAACCCATTTATTTTCAGTTTCTGAGTGGATGCTATTTAGCACAAAGCAGATACATTTTTGAGTCTCAAATGCTGGGCATGCTTTCCAGCCCAGTGTCTCAGCCTGTACATGGTGAGCTCTTCATCGTGCTGGCAGCCTAACTTAGGGAGGAGAGCTGACGTTTCGGGTTATGAAGCCTAGAAACGACTGGGAGCAGTTTAATGGTGGGTAAACAAATGCCTAACAAATAGAAGTTTCAAAACTTGGTTTAAAAACGTGTTTCAAGTGGTTGCCAGTCAGCTTGTGGAAGCATGTGAGGCATTTCTAAAATAGAAACTGTGACAGCTCATGGAATAACACATGATCAGGCATGTCATTCAGCATTAGCTGCCAGCAGCAGGCAGGCAGGTTCTCCTTTTTTTCCCCTTCCCTGTGCAGTTATCAGTCCTTATCCTTCGTCGCGGACACCTGTAGAAGCTTACATGTAGGTAACCAGAAGTACTTCTTTAATACAGCATGGCAAATTAGTCCTTGGGATCTATCACAGTGAATTACCATCTTGGAATTGCAGGTGGGATGGAGCAGTCACATAACCTCATGGACTGAGTCACTGGCAGAAGATTTTGGGTTATTATCTGAGAGTTTAATTACTAGTTTCCACTGCTCAGAGGTGGTTGATGGCAGAATAAACTGATATCAGGTCCACACACTCTACTTACATGCGTTTTTACCTGCTTTGAGACAGTGTTTCTTTGGTATGTTGTAAGTTTAAATGACAGTGTGCTTTTCTGCCTCTCTGCACAAAGAGTATTTGTGTCTTAGAGTGTCACTCACCAAAGACACTTGGTGCACCTGTGTTCTATGTTCCTATTGCATTGTCTAAGGGAAGGGGAAGATGATATCAAGTGACCAGATCTCTCTTTTCATGAAATTTGCTCTTTATTTTGGAAAGCCAACTTACTGTGATACTGAATTATTACCTTTTTTTGGCAATAGGTCATAGCAAACGACAGAAGTCCACTGGTGGGTAAAGTCCACTGGGAGAAAATGGTGAAGAAAGTATCGAGATTCGGCATACGTACTGGCACTTTTAACTGTTCCAGTGACCCCAGGTATATTCTTAAAGGATTATCCAGAATGTTTAAGGCTGAGCTGTATTCCGGCAGCTGGGCTTCCTGCGTTGTAAAAGCAGCTGTGATAGAAGGTGCTTTTGTTTATATCTTTGCTAAAGTCTCTTCAGAATTCTCTGCTGCATTATTTATCAGCATCATAAACACAGGTCTGCAGCTTCCTAAAGCACTGTGGGGGAAATACATGATGAGACTGTGTAGAGCATCATACAGCAGTGGTAGAGAATGAGTAGAAGAATCTGGCCTTAGGGCACTCATGGACAGGAACTGCTTGCTTAGAATGCAGCTGAATATAGCTCATATAAGAGAGCTCTGGGTTGCAGAGGTGCTTTTTTGCTATCTGGAAAGGAGAAACACAGGTGAGCACCAAGCTTCAAAGCAGTTCCTACTTCTCAGGATTATTGCTGTCCTGTTCCTTGGCAAATACGTGCATGCTTCCATATAGACATGAACACAGCCTTTGTCAGCAGGCAGCGCGCTGTGCAGGATTCTCTGTTGTTTACGTACGATTTCAAATGAGGAAGAAAAGCAGAGTCAAAGAAGCTATTAATAATCCTGTGCTGCTGCAAAAGCAGTCGTTTAATGGCGTTGTGCTGGAAGCATTTGCTTCACATGACAGGAAATCTTGTCTAGAATTTTGGTCTGGGGATTATGCATGTATCTCAAATGCTAAATGTTTACAGAAATTGCAAAGTTAATTGGAAGGGAAGATTCTTAGACTTCACAGTGTTTAGAGAAATAATCTTATATAGTAAAAGCATTGATACCTGAGCATCTTGAAACTTTGGCAGTGTTTCTCTTTGCATAGCTCCTAATTAGCCTCAATTTTATCATAGAATCCTCATGAGTTCATCCCATCTCAGCCTCTGCTAGTTTTATGGTGAGCTCTCACCACACCAGTTGGCCTGCCTGCATCCTTCCAAAATGGCCCCAGTAAGAAGTGCACAGCCTTCTCACTTCATTGAATCTGCTGTCAACATGCCAGCGTCCTGTTAAATTCACCCTGCTGCTGACTGGCAAAACTAGGTTGAGGGAAGCACTGGGAGAAGTTATCTGAAAGCTGCAGGGCATTGACCTGCATTGTGATGGTTATTTTTTTTGGTCAGAATGCCTATGAAAAATAGCTCTGCTACCAAAGCTCTGTGGTGTAGAGAAAAAAGTCTACTTGCGTTCTTCTCAAAGCCAGTTCCAAGGCAAGGTGACTTTAACGGTCCAGTATTAAATAGGGAGGTTGGTGGCCCTGCATGTGGCAGGGGGTTGGAGATTCACGATCCTTGAGGTCCCTTCCAACCCCGGCCATTCTGTGATTCTGTGTGATGCTGTGTAATGTGTGGCCTTGTTATAATAACCAATGAAAATGAGCACTGTTCCTCTTCCAGCATCTGACACATGCAGATCCGCTGACGGCTTTCTTGTAAGATAGATAACAAAGACAGAAAAGATGGATAAAAGAGATAACAGATGTGTTGTAAGAGTAAGTGCTCTCTGTCAGAGATGATTGGATGCCTGTATTTCATGCTGTTATCTGTAAGAACTCCCAGGTGCTCACCGTGTCTAATTTTTGGGCTCATTAAGGAGATGTAAGGACTGCAGCTGCAGGAGTATGCAGCTCCATCATCTAACTTGCCGTTTTCTTTGCAGATACTGCAGGAGGAGGGGCTGGCTGAAATCCACCCTCATTATGTCAGTTCCACAGACCAGCACCTCCAAGGGAAAAGTAATGCTTAAAGAATACAGCGGGCGCAAAATTGAAGTGGAGCACATTTTCAAATGGATCACAGCCCACGCTGCTTCTCGGATCAAAACCATTTACAACTCTGAACATTTAAGAGAAGAGTGGAACAGAAGTGACCAGTACCGTGTGAAAATATACCTATTTGCCAGCCTCGACCAGCCTCCAGCCTTCTTCTCTGCACTAAGTGTAAAGTTTACCGGGAGAGTAGAGTTTATTTTTGTGAACGTGGAAAACTGGGACAATAAAAGTTACATGGCAGAAATTGGTATCTACAAGACACCATCCTACATACTTAGGACTCCTGAAGGGATTTACAGGTATGGAAGTAATGCTGGTGAATTTATATCACTGCGTGCCATGGATTCCTTTTTGCGCTCGTTGCAACCAGAAGTTAACGATTTATTTGTTTTAAGCTTAGTTTTGGTTAATCTGATGGCTTGGATGGACCTGTTCATTACGCAAGGCGCCACTATAAAGCGATTTGTGGTTCTTATAAGCACTTTAGGGACGTATAATTCACTCCTAATTATTTCCTGGCTACCCGTGTTGGGTTTTTTGCAACTACCTTACTTAGACAGCTTTTATGAGTACAGTTTAAAACTCTTCAGGTACTCTAACACAACTACATTGGCTTCTTGGGTAAGAGCCGACTGGATGTTCTACTCTTCGCACCCAGCGCTCTTCCTCAGCACGTACCTTGGCCATGGTTTGCTGATTGATTACTTTGAGAAGAAGAGAAGACGCAATAACAACAACGATGAAGTCAATGCTAACAATCTAGAGTGGCTCTCCAGCCTGTGGGACTGGTACACCAGCTACTTGTTTCACCCTATCGCTTCCTTTCAACACTTCCCTTTTGACTCAGATTGGGACGAAGACCCAGATCTGTTCTTGGAGCGTTTGGCCTTCCCCGATCTCTGGCTTCACCCTCTGATACCAACAGATTATATCAAAAACTTACCAATGTGGAGGTTTAAATGCCTCGGCATCCATTCGGACGAAACGCTGGAATCCCTCCAAGACAGCGAAAGTGACTCTGACAGTGAGAACAGAGAGGTGTTCAGCAGTGAAAAAGACATCTCGGAGGAGGACGAGCCAAATGCATTTCACAGGCGCAGGGCAGGAGAGCCTCGCTGCCGTGCCGACAGCTGTTCGTGTGCCAGTCCGTGTTGTCACAGGGAGCCTTGTGAGCGCAAAGCGAGGTCGTACGGGTCGTACAGCACCGCAGACGAGCCGGATTGGTCAGCGTGGCCCCCTGAGATGCTGCACTGCACGGAATGCGTGGTGTGCCTCGAAAACTTCGAGAGGGGCTGCCTGCTCATGGGCTTGCCGTGCGGCCACGTGTTCCACCAGAATTGCATTGTGATGTGGCTGGCGGGAGGAAGGCACTGCTGCCCCGTCTGCAGGTGGGCTTCTTACAAAAAAAAGCAGCCATACATGCAACCACAGCCTTTGTCCAACGATGCCCCGTCTTAGCCGTGCGTCCGTGTCCTGTGTCAGCTTTCAGGATATTACTGCTTGCCTTTTCAATGTTAGTCACTTAAAAGATTACGTGGTTTGAAGTTTTAGTTTAAATGTTAGTGCAGTGAACTAAAATATACACGATCTAACGTTAATGGCAGAGTTATTTGGTTGCCTTGTGTGTTGAACTGAATGCATTCTTACCGTACAATAACTTCTTTCTTTTCATCATCCTGAAACTCGACGCTGTTTTTGTAAGCACAAAATCAAACCTCCACCAGAAGCGTATCCCAGCAAACGTTTACAAGTGAGGATAGGGGGGGAATCTAAATTCTAACCGGAGATGATTGCTTAATTTAAGTGTTTCTTATTTTAGAGTCTGTTCAGCACATCCTTGTTGAATAATGTACGTTATAAGACAGTACCGTTTAAAAAGAGATACGTGAAATAAATTATTTTAAAAGGAGATTTGTAATGTTAATTGTTTTGATAAATATTTTGTGTGTATAGTTACAGATGTCTTGCTGGTCTGATTTATCTGTGAAGACAATAAAAATATAACACAACTTTTGTGACTAATAAATCATCTCCTAGGGATGCTGGAATTCATTTCTGTACTGTGAAGGTAGCTGTGGTGTCCCTGTGCGTTGCAGAAGAGTTGGAATAGGTGGCTTCAGAGGTCCCTTCCAACTCGAAGTATTCTGTGATTCAATGAACCACCGGCCGAGCAGAAGGCAGTGGTGTCTCACTGAGGTTCTCTGCTTGATCAGGGGTTTCCTAATTGATCACAGATTGCTTTCTCAGACCCTCTTCCTTACAACCTGTCTCTCCAGTATCTCATCTGCAGACATCTATGAAGGCTTCATGGTCTCCAGTCTCAAAGCAAACCATCATGAAGGGGGAGAATGCCTTGGAGTGACCCGAGCACCCTGTTAAGGCAGAACATTCCAGATTCCAGGTGTTGGTGTTCTGCAGTGATTTCTGATTGCCTGGAGAAGAGCAACAGCTGTTTGATGCCATGAGAAATGGGGTCTGGTTTCTTTGTATTTCAGTAAGAAAGTGCAGCTTTGGCTGTGCCTTTCAGGAATCAGCTGACTGTAAATTCAGTGAGGAAATTTTGCTTTGTCTCCTCCCCAGTTCTTGCCCATGTGGTACAAAAGGAGGACAATTAACAAAGGCAGTGAAAAGCATAAACGCAGGTGCCAGTTGCAGTTCTGATCCATCTCTTCACTGTGCCTCTAGAGACATGTGGGACGTGAGTGCTCACAAAGCCATTTGGCACTGTTTTATCCATGCAGGGGACCTGGACACGTTTGTTCTGTCACCAAATGTTTCACACCTCCCATCAGCAGGTGTCATCGCAGGAGGACACTCCTAATCATCAGAAGAGCTGTTTTGAGCAGTGCTTCTTTTCTCATATCCTATCGCAGCGTTGAGGTCAGGAGGTAGAAGGAGCATCACCAGCCCTGTTGTACTGCAGAAAGAGTTTTTATTCCAACAGAGGGCTGTCGGTTCATGTCCTTCACCCCTCGTTACCAAGGCGGAGCAGTGGGAGGCACAGTGAGGGCACAGAGCGTGTCAGCTTGCAGTGTGCGAAGCACCATCGCACTGAGTGCTGTAAGCACACATGTGCTTACTGTAAGCAGCTCCCAGCCTGCCTGTATTGCTGCACAGCTCTTGCGTGGTTTGCTGAGCACCACGAGGGCACGTTGGTACGGCGCCGTGTCCTCAGGGCACCGCGTGCTGCTGGAAAGCCAACGCCAGCACACAGCCCGTGCCAGGCAGCGCTGCTGGGCGCTGGGTCAGCTGCTTTTGTGAGCTGCTGTGCACACCTGTTCCAGCTGATTTAATGACCTCGCTTGCTCTCCTGATCCAATTCTTCTGATAAATGACAGAAAGTGCTGCTTAATTAGCAAAAGAGCCGCAGAGGGCACTTCCATATGTGCAGATAATTACGGACAGTGGATGGGAATGACTGAAGGGTTTGTCGCCCTGTGCCTGTGAACCCGAGTTACATTAATTGATGCGATCCAGATCCTGCTGGATGCATCTGCTTCAAAATCCACAGCAGCTGTCCTGGTGGTCCCTGCAGGAAAGGGAAAGCAGTGTTGTGCCTTTATATTAGGAAACGCTCGTGTCGTGTCTGCAGAGGCATCCAAAGGGAGCTTAGTGTGAGCACAGGATCTCAGTCTACCCCCAAACAGTAAAAGCGGGGAGCAGAGAAAAGGCCAGGCCTAGAGCAAGGCTGGCAGTTGCACTGTGAGTTTGCATGGCCCTGCTGGCTGCCTGCTGCCAGCGCTGGTCCCAGTCCTCAGTCGCGGGGCTGCTGACCACGCGTTCAGTGACAGCTGCTTTCCTCCGCTGCTTTTCCTGCTCTCTGATCCCAGAGGAGAGCTCTCCTTTCCAAAGCGTCCTCAGATCTGCTTTCATTCTGCTCTAGGTTTTGAATAAGGGAAAAAAAGACAAAGGTGGACTGTCCACTTTTGTGAGTACGATTAAAACGGCTTTCTGTGGGAACTGGAAAACAGTCACAGCACCGTAGAACCATAAAATGGCCTGGATTGAAAAGGACCGCAATGAACCTCTAGTTTCAACCACCTGCTGTGTGCAGGGTCGGCAAGGGTAAGTATGACTGCAAGTCCTCGCAGTGAGATGAAGTTAACAGCACTTCCGTGCTCCTGAGCCTCTGCAACCTTTAAGCGCCGCGATTACTCTGGCGCCGCAGGAGCGGCACGGGGGGGCGGGGCTGACGCTGTAGGGGGCGTGGCCAATCGAATTGCGCCCCTCCCTCACGGCGGCGCGCAGGGCGGAGGCGCGCGCATGCGCAACGAGGCCGGGCGGCGGCCGTCGGCGCAGGCGTAGAGGGCCGTGCGCCGCAAGGCCCCGTCAGCGGGCGGGGCGGGAAAGGCGGCGCCGGGCGGGCCGGTTCCACCATGGGACTCTTCGGCAAGACCCCCGAGAAACCGCCCAAGGAGCTGGTGAGCGCCCGGCGGGACCGCTTCGGGCGGCGGGAGTAGGGGTGCGGGACCGGGAGGCGGCGCGGGCCGTTGCCGTGGCAGCGGGGGGTCCGGCGCCGAGCCCCAGGGCTGCGACTCGACTCCTCGGCCTCGCGGGCAGCGGCCGTTTCCTGAGCGCTTGTGTCCCACCGTGCTGCTGTGTGGAACCGGAGCGGAGTGCGAGGCACCGAGCGCCGTGCGAGGGGCTGCGGTCAGCGGCGTTGGCTGCGATGCGGTTTGGTGCGAGTGGTTGCGTTGGGGGGAATCGTGCAGGACAGCGTCCCTTTACAGCTGGAGTCCAGCTAACTCTCGCGCTTTCTCATTTTGAGGTGAACGAATGGTCTCTGAAGATAAGGAAAGAAATGAGAGTCATTGACAGACAGATCAGAGGTGCGTCCTTCCGGCTTTTCTTTTGTGTCTCTGCCTTCCTTGTCATAGAATGGCCTGGGTTGAAAAGGACCACAATGCTCACCCAGTTCCAACCCCCTGCTGTGTGCAGGGTCACCAACCAGCAGACCAGGCTGCCCAGAGCCACATCCAGCCTGGCCTTGGATGCCTGCAGGGATGGGGCATCCACAGCCTCCTTGGGCAACCTGTTCCAGTGCCTCACCAGCCTGTGTGTGAAAAACTTCCTCCTAATATCTGACCTAAACCTTCCCTGCCTCAGTTTAAAACCATTCCCCCTTGTCCTATCACTATCCTCCCTCATAAACAGCCGTTCCCCTCCTGTTTACATAGAATCATAGAATCACAAGGAAATAGGAAATATAGGCATATAGGAAATGACCTGTAAGATCATCTAGTCCAATCGTCTTCTCATTGCTACTGCTACCACAAGCACTAAACCATATCTTGCAGCTCCTCATCCAGACGCCTCTTGAACACAGCCGGGGATGGCGACTCCACCACCTCCCTGGGCACCCATCCCAGGCTCTCTGGGATGGCTGACCACTCTCTGAGAGAAAAAGTTTTTCCTCATGTCCAAACTAAACCTGGTACAACTTGCAGCCATTTCCCTGGGTCTTGCGCGTTGCCTGGGAGAAGAGGCCAAACCCCTCTTCACCACGAACTCCATTCAGGAAGTTATAGAGTGCAATGAGGTCTCCTCCAGACTGAACAATCCCAGCTCCCTCAGCCGCTCCTCATAACACTTGTGCTCCAGACCCCTCACCAGTTTTGCTGCCCTTCTCTGGACACGTTCCAGGGCCTCAATACCTTTCCTGTAGTGAGGAGCCCAAAACTGAACACAGCACTCGAGGTGCAGCCTCACCAGTGCTCAGTACAGGGGGATGATCACCTCCCTGCTCCTGCTGGCCACACTATTTCTAATGCAGGCCAGGATGCTGTTGGCCCTCTTGGCCACCTGGGCACACTGTCAGCTCATGTTCAGCCGAGTATCAATCAATACCCCCAGGTCCCTTTCCTCTTCACACTCATCCAGCCACTCATCCCCAGTCCTGTAGCGCTGCATGGGGTTGTTGTGGCCAAAGTGCAGGACCTGACACGGCCTTGTTGAACTTCTCCCATTCACCTCAGCCCAGCGATGCAGCTTATCTAGATGCTCCCTTCAAGTACTTGAAGGCCACAATGAGGTCTCCCCGGAACCTTCTCTTCTCATGGCAGGGGAAGGGGCTGAAATCAAATAAACCAGGGTAGTTATTGCATCTGGAATGGAGAAATAACGTGGTCCTGGGGCTGAGTTGGTCTGTTGTACAGAAATGTCATCATTCTGAAATTCTACAAGTAAAATATTCTGCGTAACCTGAAGTGTTCTGCAGAGATCTAACGTACCCGTGTCCCATCTGGTAGGATGAATTTCACTTATCCAGAACTTCCTCCAGACTGACTTAACGAATGGCCTTGGTGCAGTGTTGTACTTCCCATGTAGAAGCTCTGGGGATACGCAGTGTCCTAAAGAGCACACAGAAATGGGAGTTCCTTCCTTTTCTTAATGGTTATTTTGCTCTTACATTCATGACGCTTTTGGAGATGTCTTGAAAAGCAGAGAGCTGTGTGTTGTTACTCTGCTATTTGCTCTCTTTGGTTTGCCTTCCCAGAACCTGAACAATTATTTTCTTTGAAAATACACGCCAGCAAATGACTGTTTTTTTTTCTTCCAAGTCCATAGCAGTCTGTAACTATTGGCTGTGCATCTTCTTCTGTATTTCAGATATTCAGAGAGAAGAGGAAAAGGTGAAACGGTCGATAAAGGATGCTGCCAAAAAGGGGCAGAAAGATGTGTGTGTGATCCTGGCCAAGGAACTGATCCGCTCTAGGAAGGCTGTAAGCAAACTCTATGCCTCCAAAGCTCACATGAACTCTGTTCTCATGGGGATGAAGAACCAGCTTGGTAAGAACTTCTAAGCCCCTGTGCAATGACTCCCCCCAGCTCCAGAGACAAGGGCTGAATTTCCATTTTCAGAAGGTCATCTGTAGGATGAATTGAGTGAGATGGAATTTAGAAGCAGGCTCCTCTTATTAAAGGGAGCTGATTCTGGGGGGCCTTCAGGACCTGGAGAAATTCTTCCTGTACCTGGTCCTGAGGGATCTGGCTGCTGCAGTTCTGAGTCCCCACATCCAGCCATGATGGGTGCTTAGC